GTTTTCTTCCATTCCAGTCAGAAGCATGCTGTTGCTAAGCAACTTGGACAATTCACATCTTTAGTTACTCCCCACGCTGTGCGTGGGTGTGGTTAAAACAAAGGGGGTGATAAAGTCACTTCAAATTACAACTGGGAGAGGCTAAAGATAGGACACATATAGACCTTAAAAAAAAAAAAAAAGAAAGAAAGAAAATAAACAATGCTTTATGTTGGCGTGTTGACACCAGATCATGCCTGACTTTGCAATACAAATCTAGCACATCTGCTATCTCTGTGAGATGAAATTCCAGCAAACCACAGCCCAGTGGAGGGGTCCATGAATGCCACAATCTCAGAGGGCTGATTTGCACCTTATTTCTGATGGGTACAAAATTCTACAAGAGGAGGATGAAGACCTATGTTCCCTGTTGTGATCAATCTGTTGGTCTGGAAAGATAGCCCTTCATTTTCTTCTGCTTGATTTTCCCATCTGCTCTTTTATAGCTTAGGCCAATTCACTGATGTATGCACACAGATGAGTATCTACACCTGTTTTTGCTCCAGGCCCCTTTTAACTCAACAATACTGAAGGTGACCCTCTTCCTGCCCAGTCAGAAATACCACCACAGAACTTCTACAACTCCCCTGGACTTCACAGTGTCATACAAGATTTGCATTTTGAGCCACACAACTTGCCCTGCTCCGTCAGATATGCGTCATCTACGGGTTTTATGTTTTAGATGTTTTGATAGAAGGGAAAAATCTCTGTAACAGGAAACCACCTCTCCAGGGATTTGGTACATCTTGGAGTGTCACTCTGTTGGGCTGTTACTCTTTTCTTTCAGGACCAATGAGTGACAAGAGTGGCACAAAAGCTCACCCAGCTCAAGGACTTGGCAAAGGGAACAGAGATCAAGGAAGCAGCCAAAGTTCATGTTTATTGCAGAGTACCTCCTTGTCTCACCTCCAGGCAGGGCACAGCTATTTGTCGGAGGTTCACAGAAGGCCCACAGCTTTCCCTCAACTTTGTCAGGGGGCAAACCACACAAGCTACAGATCCCCTCATCTCCCTGGCAAGTGCCCAATTCGTAGAGGTGGTGGAGGGTCTGCAAGGCCGGTCCGTAAGCTCCCCGGAAGGCGAGCATTTGTCTTAGTGTTAAAACTACGGCTGGGAAGGGAAGTCGCGAGGGGACCAAGGCAGAGCCCTGGGCTTTCAGAAGCCCACCGGAGGGCCAACAAGTCTGCCAACAATCAGCCCGGCGCAACAAGTACCCAGAGGCGCGGGCCAGACCCTCTGCCTCCAAGACCCCGGGGGCGGGACTCCGCGCACCGCCTTTTAGTTCTCAAATTCCGCGACAACTCGCCCTGGGGCCCGGCGCGGAAATGACCCCAGGCGACGGCTGGCCACCCGCAACCCTCGCCCGCTTCTCGGCCGGCGCAAATTCTCGCCGCCACTGGAACCGGCCCGCGGGCTGGACGCTCGAGCAACGAGGACGCGCTGGCCCCCAGAGCCCAGCCTCCTACAGGCCCGGCCCGCAGCCGCCTCCCGTCCTCCACATTGCAGGCCAGAGCCCGCCGCCTCACCTCGGGCGGGAGCCGGTGGCAGCTGAGGGCGTCGCGGGGCTCAGCGCATCCTGGGGGCTCAGGGAGCTGGACTTGAGACCGCGCGGGGCCCGCAACGAGTTATGTAACCGGTAGGGGCCGCAGCCGGGACGGAGGCGGCGGCCCGCGGCACTTCCGCCTCCCGTGCCCGGCCGCGCCGCAGCCCGGAAGCCGATTGGACACCGCCCCGCGCGGCACCGCCCCCTGACGCCAGCGCCGCCATCTTGGGAGCGGGCAGGTCCCCCTTAAGCCGGCGGGGTGGAGGAGCGGCGGTGGTGAACCGTAAGCTCGTAGGGCGGAGCCCGGCGCCGGCGCCCTCTGGCAAGTCGTGGCTTGCAATAGCAGACGCGAGGTGGCCTCAGGTTGCGGCGGTTCATCGAGGAATTCACCCAGAGCTTGTTAGGGGACACGTGCTGAGCAAAGACTTTACGGGAACGCATACCTTGCTTTCAAATAATGACAGAGCTCCACATACCCAAAGGATGAAGCAAGAAGCTGCGTACGGCCAGGCGTTGAAATGAATAACCTCAAAGGATCTGATTACTATCCAAGAGATTGAAGTCATCGCAGACACTTTTGTGCCCATAATACTGTAAAAAATGTACTTAGAAATGTTAAAACTATTTTTTAAACATTTCGAGATGGAAAATGTTCCTAAAGATTTTAAAGTTTTAAAGGTAACTTGGCTTAACTAGATCAAGAGTGAATAGTTAAGTCTATTGTCCATGTAGTAGCTAGCGGAATCTTGATCTCCTTATAGCAACCTGTGTTTTCTTTTTGTAACAGTTTCTGTAAGATTCTTTTTCAAAAGGCTGGAAAATCACTTGGTCAGATGAAGATCCATATACTACTATTTAGAACTCTGTAGACTTACATTTTAAGCACCACAAATATGCTGTTGTTAGCAGCAGGTGTGGTTAGTGCTTGGACCCCTTTAAGACATTTTGAGCATTCGATTATATTTAGTGTGTTATTGTTGAATTATTTCTAGTTAATCATGTTACAAAAATTAAGATTGATTATAAGATTCACACAAATATGGCAAAATAAAGGGAAAATGAGGGTGGGCATGTAATAAAATGCACATTATGAAGTCCTACTTTTTAAACATGTCCGCACTTTTAACTGCAAGCTTTTCAGAATCCAATATGAAAAGACAATTGGTTACAGGATTCATCTAACCAGTGTTTAGGAGAGTATTCCCCTGGAATCCATTGTCCCATACTTCTTCCTCTTTCAGAAAAGAAATCCGAAGGAATTCTAATCTGTCATGTCTCGTTTTTTGCTTTTTTTTTTTTTTTTTTTTTTTATATTGGGGATTGAACCCAGGGGCACTTCTTTACCACTGAGCTACACCCCAAGCCCTTTTTGTTTTTAAATTCTGAGACAGGGTCTCTGTAAGTTGCTGAGGCTGGTCTTGGACTTGAGATCCCCCTGCCTGAGTCTCCCCAGTTACTGGGATTACTGGCATGTACCACCACACTTGGCTGTCATATCTTCTTGTAGTGATAAAATCCCACTCCTTACAGCAGGCCAAATCATTGTCAAGATAAGCTTATACTTAGCCTTCCTTGCAGCAAGGGCGGGCTCTGTTCTAAAGTTTTTACTGGTGACCAAGAGGGAAAGTGAGGTCGGCAACTTCTGTGTCACATCCTTAAAAGGCCATTGCTGATATGTTAACTGGTGAAGCTAGGTGAAGGGTGCACAGGTGGTTACGTTATTCTTTTAGATATTCAGGAATATTGAAATTTTCAAAGTAAAAAGGTGGGTTAGAAAAAGAAAACTGCCTACTCTCCACTCTCCCGTTTGCTAGGACATGGAAACAGTAGTAAACCCCTTCAGTTACACAGGAGAGGCAAAACCTGACCTGGGTCCTTGCACCCCAGCCTGGGCTGTGGTTCAGAATCTGACCTAGAATTTGTTAAAACTGCTGAACCTCAGGCTTCATCCAGATCAACTGAATCCAAGGGCATTTAGCTCAGGCACTGGCATTCGAAAGGATCCCCAGGTGAAGAAAGGTAAGCATGTTAAAATTTGAGAAGCATGCCCTAGGTGATTGCACAGTGAGGACATTGTTATTTTCAGGGCTCTGTGTATTGCACTATAAGATGAACTTGGCATATACATCCAAACTTTGAGAACACTCTTTTTAAACCCAAATGAGAAAATGATTACAATTTCTCCAGGGCTTCCTATGTGCCAAGCCTTGTGTTTAAACAAGATCTCAATTATCCTCAGGACAACTTGGGCACCATGTGTTGCTACTAAGAAAATATTCCACTCTCTCCCACTGAGTGGCCTTGGCCCCACACTGTTTCAAAGTGGTCCCTCACTGGTTTAATCAATTAAGATCAACCCTTTCTCCCTTGGCTTGGTGACAGTTCAGACGACCCTGGCCTAAGCAAGAGAGGGCGAGGGGCATCTCCTGGTCATGGGGATTGTTTCAGGAACAATCTAATCATAGGGAGCATAGTTCTAATCCATCCTCCAAGTCTCTGCCTTCTTGGTTTTGCACTGCTGTATTCTACTTCTTAATCCAACAGATTACTAGCTTTGTAATGATCATCTTCTCCTTCAGTTAATCTATTGAACTGAAAGTTTTGCTATAACTGAATTTCATCCAGTTGTGAAGTCTAGGCAGAGCTGCCACCTCTCTCCTCTAGAATTTCCGTTTCATCAGGAGTTCTCTGGAAAGTTGTTTCTTCTTCCCCTGCCCCTAAGTGTACTATCAGGTACATCACTATTTTTCTCTTGGCTGTTCATGGCCCATTTCACTCTCTGGCCTTGGGTCAAGTAGAGAGACACCTAAAGGTTCTACTGGTGGGGGAAAGCTGCAGTCTCCCATGGTCTGGTCTCATATCAAGCTGTCAAGCAGGGCCTTTAAAAGGAAGCCCCCGATTCCTGCGTGCTCAGCTCCCAAGCTCTCACCTAGCCTTGGAGACAAGAAAGTAATCAGGTTCCTGTGACCTAAAGAGAGCAGCCAGCTACCATCTGCATGGACAAGCTCTGCCCTTCCCTTCTGAAGACACTCCAAGACCAGAATCTCTAGAAAATGAGGTACTTTAATGTTCACCCACCGTTTTTCATGGCCCTGATACACTTATCTGGCCCATATAGGAACAGAGTCCAGTTTTGCTCTTATTCCAAGCCTGGGTGATCCCAAAGCCTCCCTTCTCTGGATACGACCCACCTATGACCCCTTGCTCTATTTGGAAAGAGTGGTCAGTAAGATGACCTATAGCTGGGGAGGGAGGACAGCAAGGACTGGCAATCCAGTCCCCACCAACACCTGGACATTCAGGTGGTAAACAATACTGCAGTTCACAAACATGTACACAGACCTGAACACTTTTTGTTGTTGTTGTTGTAGATGGACACAATTACTTTTATTTACTTATTTTTATGTGGTGCTGAGGATTGAACCCAGTGCCTCACACATGCTAGGCAAGTGCTCTACCACTGACCCACAACCCCAGCCCCACCTGTACACTTTTTGATTACAGATGTTTTCAACTCACAATGGGATTATGTCCTGAAAAAAATCCACCATAAGTTGAGGGCTCATGGTTTCAGAGGTCTCAGTCCATAGAAGGCTGGCTCCATTCCTCAGGGCTCAAGGTGAGGCAGAACATCATGGTGGAAGAATGTGGTGGTGGAGGAAAGAGACTGAGGCATTGCATGAAGGAGAGAGGGAAAGCAAGGGGAGGAGGGAGAGACAGAGAGGGGGAGGGAGAGGGAGGGGGGAGAGAGAGAGAGAGAGAGAGAGAGAGAGAGAGAGAGATCTGTTCAGATATATATTTTTTTAATATGGTGCTGGGGATTAGAACCCAGGGCCTTGTGTATGCTAGGCAAGCACTCTACTAACTGAGCTATATCCCCAGCCCCATAAGTTGAAAATATTAAGTCAAAACTGCATTTAACACTTCTTATCCACCGAACATCATAGTTTAGCCTAGCCTACCTTAAATATGCTCAGAACAGTTACATTAGTCCATAGTTTGGTAAGATCTTCTAACACAAAACCTATTTATAATATTGACTATCTCATGTAATTTACTGAATACCTATGTCCACAAAAATGCTGGCAATATTGAATACTTGTAGCACATTTGTTGCTAATTCTCCTGATCACATGACTGACTGGGCGCTGTGGCTTGTGACAGCTTTCATTGCCCAACATCTTTTTTTCCTCAACTTTTAAAATTTGTTCTTTTTAGATATACGTGACAGTAGAGTGCATCTTGACATATTATACATACATGGAATATAACTTATTCTAATTGAGCTCCCATTCTTGTGGTTGTACATGATGTAGAATTTCACTGGTCTTGCATTCATATATGAACATAGGAAAATTATGTCCAATTCATTCTTTTTCCTATTCCCATCCTTCCTTCCCTTCATTCCCCTTTGTCTAATCCAATGAACTTCTATTCTTCCCTAGTCCCTCCCACCATCTTGAGAGTATTGTACCACATATTGCTATCCTGGGAAAAGATTAAGATTTGAAGAGTGGTTTCCACTGAATGTGTATTGCTTTTGCATCATTGTAAAGCTGGAAAATCATTAAGCTGAACCATAGTAAGTTGGGGACCATCTGTACTTCTGTAGGAAAAATTCCTAGAATGTTGGTTAAAATGATTTTAATTAACCACATTTTAACTTTGGAAACAAATCACAGAATGCCTGCCAGAAAGGTTTTTACTAATGTGTTGTCATACCAAGAGCAAGAAGACTCTACACTTGCTACACCAAGACAAACAGTCCACACCCGTGCCAACATGGGAAACTATTCTTTTTTATTTTTTGCACTGTATTAAAATTTTTTAAATTGATTTTTTAGTTATACATGACAGTAGAATGTATTTTGACATATTGTATATACAAGGAGTATAAGTTTCCATTTTTGTGTAAGTAAGTAACTTATTCCATCTTGTACATGATGTGGAGTTACACTGGTCATGTATTCATATGTGAACACAGGAAAGTTATGTCCCATTCATTCTATTGTCTTTCCCATTCCCTTTCCTCCTCCTTTCCTGGCACTCTGCCCTGTCCAATTGGGTGAACCTCCCCTTCTCCCTCCCTTGCCCTGGGATACTATTCTTTACCTCTCTGCAATTGAAATTACAAAGATGTCATTGTTTTCATGTGTATTTCTTAGTCTGTTTGATCATTTTTTTCAATTTTTATAAAGTATATTTCACCTTTACATAATACATTTTTACAAATGTGTCTAACAAGATATTTTTAGTTTGGTTTAACTTGGGGAGATTTTCTGACATTAAACACTTTTTTGAGGTAATACATGCCTATGGTAAATTTTTTAAAAGGACAAAAGGATTCAAGGTGAGAAATATTTCCCTCTGTTTCTGAGTACCAGAGTTCTCCAGGGAACTAAGGTTATCAGGTTCCTGGCATTCTTTCAGAGATATTTACATGGACAAGCACTATATTTTCATAAATAAAAAGCAAATATGAGATGAGGGCCAAACTTTGAAATTAAATTCTCTTTTTTCTTCACTTAAAGAAGGCCAGGCATTGTGGGTATTCAAATGGTGACCAGGAAACACTCTGCCTTGTGTGATTAACTGATAGTTTGATCAGGATTTCAATGCAGATGATTGCAAACAACTGTGCAATATCTAGAATGTAATGAGTAAATATAGATTTACTGTGTCTGCTATGTGCTACACACTGTTATAGTCCTTCTGGTAAGTTCTCTTTTCCTTCCTCAACAACTCTGAAAGATAGGTATTGTCCCCATCTTACAATGAAATACTCACCTAAGGCCTTTACGGCACACAGGATGAATGAAGCTCCTCTCCAAAGTGGCAACTCTGAGTGCCCACCACGAAGGATGAAAATCAAGAAACAAATGGATTCTTTATTAGAAAGGACCGGTTCTTCACTAAAGCCACGAACCATAACTTTCCTGACTTACCTAGGAAGAAAGTTCACAAGGTTGCAAAAGCAGCCTTTACAGGAAGATCTCTTTCCTAGTGTCCAGGAGAAAAAACAAAATAAGTCACTTCATGGCAAGCTCTGCAGCTTGTTAATCAGTACTTGTTCTGCCTGAAAGGGCTCTTGACCATCCTTGGGGCACTCCCAGGAAAGTGGAAAGATTACATGAGATTGGCATGAAATAGAGTGGATGGTTCTAAGGGTTTTATTAGTATCCGCATAGATCAAAACCAGGACAAACAAGAAAAAAATATTTGGGGTTTCCAAAATATCTGGAAATTCTCCCTTGGTGTGAAATAATGCATGTGTATAAGATGGATAATCAAGGATGAGACTACTTGCAATTAGAACCAAAACAGAGAAAGAAAAGGACCATGCGGCTACATAGTTCCTGTCTCAGAAGGTCTGCTTCTCCATTTATCTGTCAGTGTACTCTAAAACTGGGCTTACTAATTAGACTCACAAGGGACTATTGCTTAAACTAAATATTTATTTGCATACAGTTAGAGTGACTGGAATACTCTATTTTACTTAAAAAAAGAATATACTCATTTACCCTCCTATGAATTAAGTGAAAGCCTTTATTTTACTATACCCCCCTGAATCATTCAGTAGTAATACTTTTAAAAGTATTTATTGACAGGTCAAAATGGATTTCACATAAGTTTCCTCTGAATACAATGGCAACATTCCAAACAGGACAGAGAAGGCTTTGAGTCCTTTCCTGAAACTCTTTTCCCTACTAAGTCTGGATCCATGCCTCATCCTTCAAGGTAAAAAACAATCTTTTGGGGGCTGTGGTTGTACCTCTGTGGTAGAGTACTGGGTTGGATCCACAGCACCACATAAAAATAAAAAAAGGTATTAAAATACAATAATATAATTTTAAAAAGTCTTCTTCGTGTGTGTATATTGGGGAGGCAGGGTACTGAGGATTGAACCCAGGAGCATTGTACCATTGAGCAACATCCACAGCCCTTTTTTGAGTTAGGGTCCCACTACTCTGCCCAGGCTGTCCTTGAACTTGTGATCCTCCAGCCTCAGCCTCCCCAGTCACTGGAATTAAAGGCATGCACCACTATGCCCAGCCATCAGAGGCAAGGCCATCATTTTACTCCTGGCCATCCCATCTCTGTAACTCCTAGGCTAGTGGATCTCAGAAGTCTTAATTTGATGAACCCTTTTGGGGGGGGGCAATAACTTAAACATGTAGTCTCTAACCGACTACCCATCCTGTCATTTCTTTTCTGTCCTCATTGTGTCTAACCTGCATTCTCTGTGGGTCCCATTATCCTCCAGGAGTCTTTGTTTGAAGCTTCTATTTAACAAGAATTTAATCAGGAGCTCAGGCTGTAGCTCAGTGGTAGAGTGCTTGCCTAGCACATGTGAGGCATGGGTTCAATACTCAGCAACACATAAAAGTAATAATAAAGGGGGGCTAGGGTTGTGGCTCAGTGGCAGAGTGCTCGCCTTGCACGTGTGAGGCCCTGGGTTTGATCCTCAGCACCACATAAAAATAAATAAATAAAATAAAGGTATTGTGTCTACCTACAACCAACAAATGAACAAATAAATAAATAAATAAAGGTACTGTGTCAAAAAAATTAATCAGTATCAGCAGGTCTAGAATCTGTAAATGGAAGTTTCTCTGGCTTCAGTAACTGAAAAACAATTTGGCTGGAATTGACACAGCAAAGTTAATTTATAATAATGACATTAACATGTTGGAGGTACATTTTATAGCACCACATCTCTGATGAAGAGATTCCTATCCAGTTAGAGGTAATCCTAGTTTTGAAATCATGAAAGCTTCTTGTTTTTGGTAAAAGTAAAACTTGCAAGCATGAGGTGCAGCCATCATTCCCATAAGAGACTGGGAGTCAAGAATACATGTTTTCTTTACTGTTCAGTTGGGTATTCTGGACACCTGTGAGAAGAGCCTCTCTAAAGTTGTGAGGAAGATAATCTTGTTTACATATACTCCTTTGGTGCATCATGAGAAGGCCTTGTGCCAATTTCTGATGAGTAATAGACATATCCTAAGAACCAGAGACGTACTTAATTTTAGATAGTGGGCCCTAAAGAGCAGTATTATCTCTGAATGGAAACCATATCAAATCTAATGAGCAATTAATTCTGGAAATTATTTTGAAATTCATCAAATAAAAACATGTACAGCAGTAATCTCTTCGTGATAGGAATGTGGTGCTTTGACAATGTTTTTGCTTATTTCTATTTTCAAACTTTCTAAAACACACACGTACTGCTTTTATAATAATAAAAAATTTGGGGGATACTGGGGATTGAACCCATGGGTGCTTAACCACTGAGCTACATCCCAACCCTTTTAATTTTTGATTTTGAGAAAGGGTCTCACTAAGTTGCATAGGGCCTCATTAAATTGCTGAGGCTGGCTTTGAATTTGAAATCCTCCTGCCTCAGCTTCCTGAGCTGCTGGAATTACAGATGTGCACCAAAGTGCCCAGCAAAAGTTATTTTTAATGAAAAAAAATGTGATCTTATGAGAGAAAGCTGGTGTTCATCTACCAAAAGCATTTCAATACATAGAGACTATTATTATTATTCTTGGTATATTAAAGGTGGAAATGAAGACTCTTCTAAAATGAGGTTGTGGATTTTTAATTTTAATGGTTAAAATACATCACTTGAGCATATAATATATATAAAATCAAATATTTCCCATTTTAAAAAAATTGAGTTAGGTATATAATTCAGTCTTATTCTTTCAATCTTAATGTAGTTTAGGCTTTTTATCTCATCAAACTTTCATGTTTCCTCTTTATTTGTCCACTTATTTATAGTTTTGGTAGTTTGCTGCTAGAAGGGTTAGGGAAGATTTTGTTTCTTCTCCCATTTCAGGAATAACTCTTTTTCTTCTTATATAATAAGTTAATATTATAAGATTCAAATCTAGTCATCAGAAACTGTGCTTATCTCTCTGTAATAATGGGAATAGGGTTCAAAGGCAAAAGACATCCAAGCTTACTGTTAATTTAGTGACTCAGTGACAGCATCAAGGTCCTAATGCTTCCATATTTCTTCCCTGTCATTCTTTTTTTATATTTATTTTTTAGTTTTAGGTGGACACAATATCTTTATTTTTTATTTTTATGTGGTGCTGAGGATCGAACCCAGTGCCTCGCGCATGCCAGGCGAACGTGCTACCACTTGAGCCACATCCCCAGACCCTTCTCTGTCATTCTTAGCCTATTAGTGAAAGTGACAATGCAATCCAGATAATATACACAGCTGCAAATCCAGATTAGAAGATTCTGAGCCCCCAAATAAGGCATCCCTGAAAAAAAAGCATTAAGCATAAGTGAAGAGGAGAAAGATGACTACATAATGAAGATACCTGTAGTTTAGTCCTCCATATATCAGGCTGTCTGCTCTTCTTCATATATGCTTTCGACTGATCTATGTTATAGGGGAGTTTGTTCTTATTCCTCCATCTGTCCTTGAAGCACCTTTCTCCTTATCCTGGGGCCCTCAGCTACCCTTTTGTGACCCATTTCCACAAAATTTTTTTCCTAGCTGTCAATAGATGTCATTAGTAATATGTTAACTATTAGCTATCTGTCCTACTTCCTTTTGTTTTCTAATAGAGCCCTGATTTTGTACAGGTAGATGGTCAGGGAAGTCTGGGTCCTGCTTCTGATGCCAGGGCATGAAGCTGATATACTAAACCAAATTATGATGGTCTTTTTACCTTGAAAATTACTGGCTTATGATGAGTACATTTCACAATACATGTCTGTGTACATTATCTGGGTTGCATTGTCACTTTCACTAACAGGCTAAGAATGACAGAGAAGAAATATGGAGGCATTGGGACTTTGATGCTGTCACTGAGCCAGTAAATTAATCAACTGTCCTATCTTTGAACATCATTTTGTTGGGCTTTCTGTTACTTGCAGCTGAAATTATCCTATTTGATATTCCACTAAATCCTGCTACTTGTCAACTCTTGTGATATTGTTTTAATGAGTATGCAATCATTCCCTAAGTAATCTGGTACTAGAATAAGACATTGTGCTAAGATTCACTTAGAATTTTTATGGTACCTATCATTCTTGTTTTTTTCTTTCCCTTTTTTTTTGTCCCCTGAAACACCTTCATAAACTTACAATTCCTTTTACTTACATTATCTTACTTTTGAAATTGCCCTCTAAGTTATTGATAACAGACATTCTTAGCTCTTTGTTCAGAGCAAAGAGTAAAATTTTTAAAAAGCTAAGGAAAGCCAAGTTACAAATTGGTCGAGATGAATGAAGCAATCATTGGCAGAGTTTGGGAAAGGGCTCGATTTTCTAACTTAAGTTTCTAACCACAGCACCCAGTGTCAATCATATGGGACACGTCTGGCACTGGAAAGGGTTGAATGGGAGGTATGAGGAGTGGATCGATATCCTGTGCAGAAAACCAGAGGCTCTACTCCTGCCTAAGGTCCACCGTGGCTTTGAGTCACTTGGTTGGGCTACAGCTGCAGGTTACAGTGCAGTGGGGACCAGCGACCTGGCCTACCCTGAACTGAACCTTGTGAGCCAGGAAGACCCCTCTACATCCCATGGCCCCATAACCAACCGAAGACCGCACACTGCTCTAACTGCGACTAGGCCGGCCCCTGGCCGCATTCCCTGGCCCCGGCCAGACCCGCACTTGAGGCACACAAGGCCCTGCTGGCCGCTCCCAGATCTCATTACCGACTGTCTTTCGAGTCTCGGAGTCTTCCTGTGTTCGCTCTTTCCTTCTAGGAAACATCACATCTCTCAGGGTCAGCAGGCCTGGAGCTCACCGGGGAGACCCCACCAGCGGAACCGGAAATACCTACTGGTAGAAACGCAGGAGCATCTACGTCTCCCACTTGCCCCACTCTTCCAGGCCTCAGTTTAGCTGCTCGATTGGTCTACTCAGAAGAGGATCCGCCCCCTCGGAAAATACTGGTCAATCACAGCGCGGGATGGAGGGGAGGGGAGGTGCTGCAGCGCGCAGCTTCCAAAGGCTCCCTTCGGCGCCTGCGTGGGGGAGCATGGGAGCGTGGGAGTTTTGCGGGGGCACAGTCTTTGGTCGTCGCGTCTCGATTGGGCGTGGCTTCCTGCTGCTTCGGCCGGGGTAGGGCGAGTCTCTCTGCTCCGGAGCTGAGTGGGCCCGTTTCGAGGCTGCACCCGGGAGAGGAGTAGTCGGCCCTGGTTTTCAAGGGAGCTTGAGGGAGGCTGCGGGCACGAGGAGCTTGGCCGCCGAGTGGGCCTCTCCAGGGACCTTTGTTTCTATTCGAAGCTTTGTCTGACGTCCCCGAAGCGATTGCAGGAGGTGCCCCCCACTCTGCAGATGGCGTCTGCGCTCGCGTCATCCGACGCCCAGGTGAGACGAGCTACCTTTTTCCCATCCAAGTTCAGTGGTTATTTTCCGGCCTCCGCCTGACCTCCTCGGAGAAAGGCTAGGTACACCTGTAGTGATGGGAGGATGCCCGATTCCCGAATAGCCCTTCGCCCTTCGTTCCTAGACCGGTCACAGATGAGAAGTGGTTTACCAAATTCTTTTCAGAACCACCAGCTAGGGAGCAGAGCCTTTGGGAGGGGTTTGTAGCCGTTTGTCAGTGTCTTTCTGGAATGCCTCTGGAAATGGCAAATTTCTAGGCTTCACTCCACACTCGTTCAATAATGATAATGCCCAGCTGATTCCTAATCACAGCAAAATTCTGTAAACGTAGAGGAGGAGTAGTGGGCCTGGATGTAGTGATGGAAGGAGCTGAGCAATGAGTGCCATGGGGAAGGAAGAGAGAGACCAGCAAAGGAAAGGATATTGGGAGAATTTTAAAACCTCTCTCGTGAGTCTTCCTTGGTTGGCCAATCTTCTTTCTCTTACAGTATCCATTCTAAATGAAGGGGAGACTCCATCATTCTCACAACATACTTTCTTGACCCTTAAGTCACTGCCTCAAAATTTATGTCCATATTTACTCTCTCCTTCCTAACTCCAACCCCACTCCTAGACCCTGTTTATATCCCATCCTAGCACTGGGAAACCTTTTAGGCCAAACCCTTTTACCCCTTGCATCTGATGATTTTAGCTATTCTCTACCTCCCTAGACTGAGGGGCTGACCCACTACACTCTTGTATTGAGATGGGTTCTCATGTTGTTTCAGGGATCGACCCTGTATGACGACCTAGCTGTGTATTTTTGTCAAGAGGAATGTGTGAGCCTGCACCCTGCCCAGAAAATCAAAAAAGAAATCAAACAGGAGTGTTTCGAAGATGTGGCTTTGATGGGTAAGGCAATTGTTTTTCCTGCATTTTCGGACTTTTGTTAATTCTAGGATAAGGATTTCATTTCTTGTCCACATGTTGATATGGTGGTGCAGGACCTGTTGCTGAATGATTTATACAGATGTGGTGAAAACTTGCATGAAGGAACAAGTTTCAAAGTGTAGGATGATTTTTGAGAGACAGACATCCAGTCTAGTATAGTACCTGTGGTTTCACACAACACATGGCAATTCCTGGTAATCTTCCCTAATATTTGTTGCAGTCAATTTACAGTTGCACTTGGGAAACCCCATTACTATAAATTATTGTCATTTGCTAAAGATGGAAAAGTGATTTGTTCTTAAGGGGGTGCTATGCCTTTCTCATCCAAGGGGGATCTTTGCAGTATTCCTATGCGTGAGTATATTTTACCTCTGAACTGGGTTGAGTGTCTAAACTATCCCAGAAGTAACGTTTTATATCTTCCATTTCTCTCATTATCATGTCTGTGTTTTTCCTTACCTTCTTGAACATATGGAGTATGTTTATAATAGCTATTTTAGTATTTTTTTCTGCTAGTTTTTTTTTATCTTTGTCACTTCTGGGTCTGTTTCTAGTGATAGTTTTTTTCCTTGTTATGGATCATATTTTTCTGTTTCTTTACATGCCTGGTAAGTTTTGATTGGATTTTGGGCATTGTAAATTTTATTTTGTTGGTTGCTTGATTTTGTTGTATAAAAATATTTTTGGATTATATGGTGGGATGCAGTTAAGTTACTTGGGGTCAATTTGTTTCTTTCAAGATTGCATTTTTTTTTTTTGCTTTGTTTGTGTGGATTCAGATCAACCTTTAGGCTAGAGATGATTGGTCATACTTGTGAGGCAGTTATTTTCCTTAGGAGACTGCTTGATGTCCTGTGTGCTAGTGGGTCTTTCCACTTTGGCTGGTGGGAGTATGAAGTATTGTGTGAACTTTGTGTACTGTTCTATGTTTTCCTTTTTGGTGGTTCTTTCCATGGCCTTGGATAGTTTTTCCATGTCTATGGAGATGAATACTCAGCAAAAGTTTTTAAGGAACCTTTTGTAGATGCTTAAGTTCTCTAAGAAGTTGCTCCTTCTTTATTATTTTGCTCTCAAATCCTAGTGACCCTGGTATCCCAGAGTGAACTCAGAAAAATCAGAAAAACTGGTGGGTACTGTTTGGATTCCCATGCACTCTACTATAGACCAGAAACCCTTTATAGTCAGTGACTTGGAACAGTCATAGGACTTTAGTTCTTTGGAAGGAAGAGTCCTTTTTGTATTAATATATTAGCTTTATAAATGAAGAATATATTTGTCTCTGCAGGAGACTGGTTCCAGGACACTGCCCTCCATTCAAGGGTACCAAAATCAGCAGATGCTCAAGTCCCTTATATAAAATATCGTAGTATTTCCATATGATCCATGCACATCTTCCATGTGCTTTAAATCACATCTAGATTTTAATAATACCTAACCCAAAGTAAGTATAATATAAATAGATGTTACACCATGTTGTTTTGGGAATAATGACAAAAAAATGTACATGTTTAGTATTGATGAAGTTTTTGTTTAGAATATTTTCAATCTGTAGTTGGTTGAATCTTTACATACAGAACCATAACTATGTGAGAGCTGGTTATATTTGCAAAAACATTCAAAAGGAACTCTTTCTGGCAGGCCCAAGTTTTGTCAGCCATCCTTGAGGTAAGACTGGCCATCATTGACCTGCTGTACACACAGCAGCCCTACTTCCATGGTTCCTCAGGGCACAGAAGTTTTAGAGACTTCTCCTAGTGAAATGAAACTACTTTTAGTAACCTGTTTCTCTGTTATAGTAGAAAAATACTTGCCCTCTTTTTTGATAAATATAAACCCCAATCTTACTCCAGTTTTCATTGCTCAGCTGTCACTTGAGTTAGCTTAAATGATGAAGAGCTCTTGAGTTTTAAATAGACACATCTATATCTCTAGACAGTGCATACCAAGATTGTCCTTTGTACCTATCCCACTCGACTTTGACTTAGTTAGAGCCATTCTCTGCTCCTTCCCCTTACAGGTTCACCTGGACCTGGATCTTTGAGGAAGCCAGGAAAGCCTCTTGGTTTCTGATTTTATTTATGTGTCAGTGTCTAGGTTATAAGGTAATCCATTTGCAGTTTCCTGGACCTCTGTGTAACTGCTTCTTAACTGCTGCTTTCCCTAGTATCATATGAAGGTGTTCTTCGTGTTTTGCTTTTTTTAATCAACAGGAGGGGAAGGGAAGACTGAGATTAATCAGCAATTAAGCCAAGAGTCTATGGAACTTGAAGAACTTTCCTTAGAAAAGTACTCCATTGCTGCACCCCTTGTCTATTACCCAGAAAAGTCCTCTGAGGATGGAGTTGGAGTCCCTGAAAGGAAATTCTCAGATGGAACTTCCACTTGCAAGAAAGAGATGATAAGCCTTTTAGTTACCATTGACAACCACACCCCATTAGTAGAATTGTCTCAATGTTTAGGAGTCAGAGCACTTTCTGAAATTCTTGAATTTCCCTGGGAAGAAGCCAAAAATGTGTTCAAGTGCCCTGAATGTGACCAAAGCTTCAGTGATAATTCATACCTTGTTTTACATCAGAAAATTCATTCAGCAGAGAACAAATACAAATGTGGTGACTGTGGGAAAATCTTTAATCATAGAGCCAACTTGAGGACACACAGGAGAATCCACACTGGTGAGAAGCCTTATAAGTGTACCAAGTGTGGTGCCAGCTTCCGCCAGCAGTCACATCTGTCCCGGCACATGAATAGCCACATAAAGGAAAAACCATACACATGTGACACATGCGGGAAAGGTTTTATGTGGCTCCCAGGATTGGCACAGCATCAGAAAAGCCATACTGTTGAAAAAGCATATGAAAATTCTAATGGTAGTAAATATTTTGATCAGAAAACAAATCTGGCTTTGCATGAGAAAACACACACATCAACCACCCCATACCAGTACACCCAGCGAGTGAAGAGCTTTAGGCAGCCCCTATACACTGACCTCCCTGAGAAGGAACACAAGGAGGTCTCTCACAAATGCCATATTGATGATGAAAATTTTTTTTCATTTTCCAGGTTCAAACCCTTACAATGTCCTGACTGTGACCTGACCTTTCCTTGTTTCTCTGAGCTTGTTTCTCATCAAAACACTCATATAGTGGAAAAGCCCCATAAATGTAAAACATGTGCAAAAAGTTTTGCTTTGGATTCAGAACTTGCATGCCACCAGAAGAGCCACACAAGAGAGGAACCTTTCAAATGTACCGTGTGTGGGAAGAGTTTTAAAGTGAATATGCATCTCATTACTCATAAGCGAACCCATAGAAAAAACACCATGTAAACACAAGTTTACATTAATGCTTGGGTTTTTCAGTATCTGTATGGTGGAAACAGTTACTGTTTTGTGCCAGGCACTGTGCCAAGCACTTTATACACATTCCACTTAATATCTGATTTTCACCACAACCTTGATTTCAGCAGTATTATTTCAAGTTTTTAAATAAGGAAACATCATCAGTGTCACATAGTTAGTGAATGAAG